AGGGCCAGGGATCGAACCTGCAACTGAGGTATCTAACCAGGGACCCTTCAGTCTGCGGCCAATGCTCTATCCACTGAGCCATACCAGCTAGGGCCTTAATAACTATGTCTTAATTGAATATTAAATTATTAAAGTTTTTAGTATATTTAAATACTAAATACAAATAGGTTGAGGTGACATCATCAAAAACAGCTAAATAAGTACATATAACAGTGGATGATGCAAGTTTTGAATTATCAGATGATATGTTTATCCTAAAAGGAAAAAAAAAACTAAATTGGGTATCTTAACGGAAGTTTGATGCTAGCAATAAAACTAAACTTAGAAGGTCACTGAATAAGCTAAGTCCAAATAGGAACCACACTAGAAAAGTTATGGAAAAGACATGAGAGTCTTTTAGTCTCTGAAGAATAATTTGGCCTATTTATCATAAATAAAAATATACCTTGCCCTGGCCAGGTGGCTCAAGTGGTTGGAGTGTGGTCCTGTACACCAAAAGGTTGTGGGTTCAATTCCTGGTCAGGACACATACCAAGGCTGTGTGTTCCATTCTTATTCCGGACACAGACAGGAGGCAACCGATCGATGTTTCTTTCTCACATTGATGTTTCTCTCTCTCTCCCCTTCCTCTCTCTCTAAAAAAATCAATAAAATCATATCCTCAGGTGAGAATTTAAAATATTTATCTATTTATCTTAATCACCTGTTTTAAGATTTTCTAAAACAACTTTATCATTTCCTTTGGTTTTAAAAATATTTTTGTTTTTATTTTTATAATTCTGGGTCCATAAATATCTCAATTCATTTAACAGCTGTTTTTTGAGTACCTACTCTGTACCCAGGTATGTATACATGACTCTCATTTAAGTATTCAGAACGAAACAATCACCCATGTTTAAGATGAGGATAATAATACCTAGTTATATGGTTGTTGTAGATACATGAAATAATCAGATTTCACACTGAATGTATGCTATCTTTCATTAATATAAGCATTACTAAAAAGATTGGAGGCTATGTTGAGAACAAAATGGAGAAGAAAATATATTTCTAATTTGTTTCAAATTAAATATGCAAACTTCAGTCTAAAATAGCCACTGATTCATGTTTATGTTAGTTAGCTTCCCAAATCTTACTGAGTGTACTAAAGAATCTATCTATATATATAAAAGCCCAGCGACCAAATGGTGGAACGACCAGAACAACTGGTCGACCAGTCGCTATGATGCACACTGACCACCAGGGAGCAGACACTCAATGCAGGAGCTGCCCCCTGGTGGTCAGTGCGCTCCCACAGTGGGAGCACCATGTGGCTGACCGGGATGAGCAGTGTTCCCACAGCAGGCCGATCCCTGCAGGCCACAGCCTCCACAGTGCATGAATCCATGTACCGGGCCTCTAGTACTATATGAGGCGGTATATAGCTAAACTGTGAAACAGATAAAGGTACTAATAGGTCAGAAACTAAGGCCAATAAATCTAAGATACATAGAATGAATATATTTTCCATAAAGCAGTGCTGAATAAATATTTGTCACATGAGAAAAACAATAAATGATACAGGATGAGATGGAAGGCAAACTCAGCAGTGCTGACTGGCCTGTGAATCAGCACAGACATACAGGCTACACTGGAAAGAATCTATATGGGTTTCTCAAAAAGAAGTACTGAGAAAATCCTACGCTTAGAGCAGCAGGACTGAGAGCAAGGGCAAATAAGTGGTAAGAGTCAAGTCAAAGGAATTTGGAAATGCCACCAGTGCCCCCACAGGGAGTTCTAGCTATCACTAATATGAACTGCTTGTAAGATGTCACAAAATAAGGTTAAAAGAAAAACAAAAGACTCTTAACAATAGCATGTGCTAAGTATCCCAGTGAGTTCCATCCCCCTTTCTCAAAGGCTACTACAACTCTGACTTGATACTGACACTTAAGATTCCCATTTGCAGAGGCTGAAAGTGAAGGCATCCTAAATATGGGTACAGTTCTCCCAGAGAAATTCTATCAGAGCCCTGTAGGAAGACACAGGCTGTAGCATTCACTCAGACCTAACTTGATAAAAATAGCCAATTTCAAGTAAAATGGAGGCTGTGCCGCAAAACACATCTAAGGAGGGTAGTCAAGAATAAGAGAACATAATTAACAAAAAACATAAAAATCAAGATTACTAAAGTAACACTAAGTTTACCACTTATTACAACAAATATGAATGGGTTAATGCCATTATTTTTTTAAAAAAACAAGTAGCATCCTGTTCTGGTACCTCAGTTGGTTAGAGCATCATCCCTGATATACCAAGATTGCAGATCCCCAGTCAGGGCATATATAAGAATCAACCAATGAATGCATAAATAAGTGAAACATAAATCTGATGTTTCACTCTCTTCTTTCCTCTCTAAAATCAATCGATACAATTTTTTTTAAAAGAAATAGTTTTTGCCCTAGCTGGTTTGGCTCAGTGGATAGAGCATCAACCTGGGGACTAAGGGTCCCGAGTTCGATTCCGGTCAAGGGCACATGCCTGGGTTGCTGGCTCGATCCCCAGTAGGGGGCGTGCAGGAGGCAGCCAATCCATGATTCTCTCTCATCTTTGATGTTTCTATCTCTCTCTCCTTCTCCCTTCCTCTCTGAAATCAATAAAAATATATTTAAAATACTTTTTAAAAAAATAAAGAAGTAGCTTTTTCCCAACATCCACTAATTAAAAAAGCAGAGGTTTGTGTGTTGGGCAGGGAGGGGGGGATCAACATAAAGAGAGAACCCATAAATTACAAGAGGCTTAAAAACATATCAGCAATCAAAATGTAAAGAAGCTCAATTTATACAAACTGCAAAAATAAGAAAACAAATCAATCAATAAATAAGACCATTATAGGACAACCAAGGAAACATGTTCTCAGGTGAGGATAAAAAATAAAATGTAAAATAAATACATAGCAGGCATCACTGTTACCTTCTATCCACTGCTATCTCTGCCTTTCCAGCCAACCAATTTCATTTTGGGAACTCAGCTTTAGCTCAGTATTAGGAAAAGTAAGAGTAGAATTACTATTTAGCAATAAAAAGGAACTGACACAAGATGAAACTCAACTGCATTGTGCTATGTGAAATAAACTAGATTCAAAAGACTACACCCATATAATTCCATTTAAATGATATTCTAGAAAAGACAAAAACCACAGGGACATAAAACAGACCAATGGTTACCAAGGTCTGGGTGTGGGGTGAGGGAATGAAGCACTAAGGGGTAGGAGGGAATTTGCCGGGTGTGGTGTGGAGTGGAGGGTGGGCGGTGGGTGAAGGAGCTAGAAGCACTAAGGGGTAGGAGGGAATTTGCCGGGTGTGGAGTGGAGGGTGGGCGGTGGGTGAAGGAGCTGTTCTGTATTTTGATTGTGGCAACGATAGTTACATGACTCTAAGCATTTTTCAAGAATCATAAAACTGTACACCAAAAAGTATAAAACTTACTGAATGTAAATTATACTTCAATTACAAGTCAATCTGATGTTTTGTGTATTTTTAAACGTTACTGATAACTTATAGAAAAGAAATATCTTTCTCTCTGCTTAAAATCTGCCATAGAATTCACTACCCAAGCTTCTCCGTAGACTTTTTTTTTTTTAAGAGCTATTCCTTGCGCTGACTCTAGCAGCTCATCAGGGAAACATCTAAAATATTAAACTAAGTTACAGAAAAAGGCTATGCAAAAAATTTTGAGTGGTAAATCACAGAATGCACTTTCTATGTGCTGTATGAGGAAGGAAAAGGCAATTCCCTTTGTCAAGAGTTATGAGAAATGAATGGAACACAATTTGGGGGAAGTCTTACTGCTTCTCAATACAATGGTCCTTATTATCACCTCTAACTTTGAAGTGAAGAGACTGAGACTCGTGGAGGACAAATACTCCATGATCCCTCAACTCTTAGATGCCAAAGCTGAAATTCTAAACCAAGCCTTTTTGACCCCAAAGCCTAAGATCTTTGGCATCGCGATGTGGGAACCCCACAGAAGAGGTTATGACTACCGCTAGGTGATGGGATTTCAGCGCACAGGCACGCCCCTGATTCCTCACATTTCACTAAGTACTTTGCACAGAATGCACTTTTATTCTATACAGAAACCTCACGATTTAGAGCCACGTACTGTAAAGTGAGCTCTACTGTAAAGGGACCTTGGGGTGAAAACTGGCAGGAAAGGTAACGTGGGGCCTTGCGGGGCCCTCTTTTCCACTCGGTCAGTGTGCACTGACATGGGTCTGCTGGGTTTGGGTTCTAAGGAAGGTGACGCATGGACACAGTCCCGAGCTACTGAAAGAAAGGTCAACGCGCAGACAGACGCGAGCAGAGGCGCTTAAGATACTCCCCCTTCCATTACACCGCTCCGGCCGGTCCCAGCGGGGCACCGGAGGAGGAAAGGCCCCTTTTCTGCCGCTCGGAGGACCTTGGCTAAAGACCTCCGTGAACTTGCCCCGTCTACGTCGCCCAAAGGCAAGGACCAACACTGGGGCGTCAGATGCCCGCGTGGCGGCCGCGCGGGGAGA